AGACTGGTTAAAACAGTCTATAAGGTGCATTTGAAGAGACTGTCCTATGAATGTGCCTAAGCAAATGTAGTATGGCAGATGAGGAGGTTTTTCCAACAGACCAGACGTATTTTCCAGAAGTCTTTTGAAAGCAAGAGAGAACTAAGTATTGGGAGGTAACTTCAATGTAGTTTTAGTGGCAGAAGAGCCAAAAATGCAGCTTTTGTGAGTCTTCTACTTTCACTTTGTAGCGTTAGGTTGTTAGAGTGAATGCAGCTCTGTGGATTTGTGGATACTTCAGATTTGGATAAATACCTTCATTTTGTTTTTACGTCTCTTGTTTAGCTCCATGAGAGCCTGAGCTAAGGCAAATGCAGGCTGGAGCTGAAAAGGAGGAGAAGGGGAAAAAAAAATAAAAATGGGCTGAGCTCTGACTAAAGTATTTGTGCTGGAAAGTAGCCCAGAGAGAGTAAAGGAGAAGCTTTAATTAGAAGCAGCTGCATAGCTGATGCAGCCCACAGGACATTTTCCCATTTCAAACTCTCTAGCTTTCAGAAATCATGATTTGAATTAAGTTGCATGTGAAATTTGTTCTTAAAAGATTAAATTCCTGTTGAAGTAGGTTAAGAGACCTCATGAGCTTCCAGAAAGTGCCAGAACAAACTTCATCTTTCTGTTTCTGAGTGTTAGATGGAAAACTGAGGAGAAACAGTGGCTTTTATTTGGAAAAGATTTGGTTTCCTGTTCTGACCATGTCATTTGGAGCTGACACAAGCTGCTACAATTTTAAGCTGCTCTGTAGACAAGTGGCTTTTTTTTTTTTTTGTTCTCCTAAAGAGAACTTGAAAGAGTAGGTTGGGATGAGAGCAAAGCAGGGGTGGTGGGAAGCTGGAGCTGCTGTTGAGGATAATCATATCCTTTAAAGAATTCTGGACTTAAACCACACTTTTTCAGTGTTTGCCTCTATTTTTAGAGAAACAATGCTGTGCCCAACATGAATCAGGGGCAAATATTTGCAGTTTTGTCTACACCAACATTTAGAACTAAATTACTAGTATTTGTGCCTAGAAATGTTGATGACAGGAGACATGGTTGAAAATCTGGACTGTAGGATTTTTGTTCTTTAACATTCAAAAATGATTGCACTGAATTGCTGGAGGGGAAAATTGCATAACTGTGTGACCAAGCACTTCTCCAGGAGGAGAACAAAATGGTGGGTAGAAGGGCCGTGTGTACCTGACCTACCATCTTTCCACAGGCAGGCACGTTCCCTCTGGCATATTCTGTAAGGCTTTGTCCTTCCAAATATAAAGAGCTAAAGTTAAAAGAGCTTTTGCTGTTCCCGGCTGGAGTGCTCCCTCGTGTTTTTCTGATTAGCTTCAGAAGATACCGGAACAAGCCTGGTCTTGGAGCGCTCTTCAACTTTTTACCAGAACATTTGTGTACAAAACGCTGGGCCGTTTGTGGGTGATGGTTGCGAGTGTCGTCTTAGAGCACAGGTCTCAGCTTTCCTTTTAAATCATACCAGCAATACTCTTAATCAGTGTTTAGGCTCCCTCCTCCCTTTTACCTAGGGGCAATAGCTAAATGCACCTTCCAGTATCCCTGTGTGGTAGGGGGTGGGTGGGAGAGAAGGCATTTTTTGGTGGTTTATTTGCTTGTGGACAAAACATGAGATGTTCCTCTAGACTTTCTGGTTTGTTTTACAGCCTTTCAATGAAAAAGCACTTTAGGACTTATGTTTTAGGTGTATTTTGGTTTATTTTGTATTTGTGGAATGGTGGGTGGTGTTGGAGGGCCTCTTGTTTACCTGATGAGATGCCCTAGGTGGGGTTCTGTGAAATTCTGGTCTGTTGCTCTTTCTTTCATGATAAAGAGAACTACAAGTGCATGGCCTGTGTCTGCTGCTGTTAGTCTGAGGAGCTTGGTGTACTGCTGACAGTGAAGACGGCTGAGCTGCCGAACCCCCCCCATCACTGGTGGTGGTGAAACCAGAAGAAATCCCTATAACGAGGTCTTGTAAGCCTTCTGGGACTGAAGTTCAATTTGACTGTATACATTCATCAGCTGCATATAGATGCCCAGAAACATGATTTAATTGTAGTTATCCAGACGGTCTCTGAGCAGAGCTAGCCAGCGCACCATGTGCAGGCTTGAATGCCGTGGGAGTTGAGCAGTCTTCCAGCTTCTGGCACAGCCGTCTTTGCTGGGTGCCAGATTTCGATGTGATTGAGCTCCTACAAAGCCGTGCTGTAGCCCGCTGGCGTTTGGACTGATTTCTAATCCGTATCGAGGAAGGATTTGGGATGTTAAAAGAACCCTATAGAACTGCCATGGTTTAGGCCCAGAATACCCAAAGATTGCCTCTCGTGTGATGTGGCAACAGCTCACGCTGACTGACAGCCTTCAGCTGTTACACCGGGGATGGCACAAGAGGCAGAGGATATTCTGCAGATGGTATTGTCTCAGGATTTGCTTTCTGTAACTTTATTAATCCTGCCTTGCCCTGCAAAAACTCTTCTTTCATGTCTCTTTTTGGGTACGAAGTTGAAAGTATTAAGGTATGGTGAAGGGAGCCTGACTTGGGTGTGGGGAATGGTAAATTACCACTATGCACATCTATTATATGACTTTCCTGCTTTAGACATAAGGCTAAAGCTAGTTAATAAATTTTAACATGAGAAAAAACAGTTGTGGTCATCTAGTAATGACCCCTTGTGTAACTCGGATAATAACCTCTCTGAATAGCTGTGTTTGAACTAGCGTGCATACTCTTTCTGGAACAGCCAATCCTGGTGTTCTTTTAAACAAGCATGAGTGATGGAGAAATTCCACTGCAACCTTAAATGCGTTGTTCCAGTTGTTTCTCTCCGCTGCTGAGAGACTCTGTATAAGTCTGTGTCTGAAGATAAAGATATTACCCTATTTCTAATCTTAATTTATATAGCTTGAACTTGTAGCTGCTCAGTCCTGTTATCCCTGTACCTTCTAGATTGGGAATTATTGTTAAATCTGAGTTTCTTTGTGGGTACTTGGAGCTTTTGATTAACTGTCTCCTCTCTTTTCCCTTTAATAAATAGACTGAGCCACCTGAGCTTTTCATTGTGTCAAGAGTTTTCTATTAATCATTACTGTTGGCTTCTTTGAATTAATTTCAGTTCTTCCTTCTTAAAGAGCAGACACCAGAACTGATGTAATGGCCTAGTAATGGTTGTGCCATGCAAGTATCAGGTGTAGCATAATCTCATTTACTCCTACTGGATATTTGCTGTTTGTACAACTAAAGTATTCCTGGCCAAACTGTCACGCTAGGAATTCATGTTCAGCTGACTCTTAGGAACCCCCAGAGCAAGTCTGTCTTTCCCAGATCAGTCTCCTGTTTTCGGGAGGATGCTTTATATGTTTTTGTGTCTAGATGCATGACTTCTCAGTGCTTAAAGTACACTTTGCGTGCTGACTGCCTTCTTAAGCAGTTCGTGTTACTACTCTCTATGAAGAACTTGTCTTCTCTCTTACTACATGTTTGACCAGCATTGATGTTTTCTGTTGTTATTCATTGATAGAAGTGTTGAATAGCGTAGCAACAAAGGCAGATCCCTGTAGTATTCTGTTAAAAACACAGCTTCATGACTACTGTTTGATTTTTTTTTTTAAACTAAATTTAAAGGCCTATCCAGTTAAGTGGTGGGGTTTTTTGTTTCGGGTTTTTTTTCCAATCCACCGTACACTTTTAAATGCATAAGGAAAAGGCAGTCTCTTTACTGTTACGTTCTTTTCTTGGGGCTAGCTAGATGCTTCGTATTTCTTGCAGCTGGAATCTCCTTCCTTTGCATTTGAGTAACTCATTGATTTAATAGTTGCACCTATCCTGTTCTGGAACAAAGTGCATCTAATGTTCACCTCTGAATTTTTTGCAGTGAAATACATGCCCTCTGAGGCTGTGAGTATCTTGGGTTACTTACCAGTTAAAGCATGCAGCTGTGCACTATAGAAAAAACTGCAAGTGGTCAGTCCTGTTTTGTATGTTAGGTGTTATTTTTATCCAGCATATAATCTTGCAGCTTTCTGCTACCTGAAAGAAGCAAATGGAACCATGGGTGACACAAAGGTGGGGTTTGCAGGCTTGCTTGCCTGGGTCCTGTATCGCTGGAAGTTAAATGGAAAATTCGTAGTACAAAGGCCAGTTAAAAGATGGATTACAGCTGACAAGTGTAGTCAGACTGTATTGACATAAGTTTAGGTTAGAGAGAAATAACTGCAATTATTCTGCAATCACAGATCTTTGTATAAAATATTACCCTAGTTGTAGATTGTGTGTGTGTACTTGTTTTTCTGTGGGAGACAGGAACAATGACCTTGTCGTTAGGGTGCTAGCCAGGGGCGTGGGAGACCTGACTTCAGGGCTTGCGCTGCTAGCTGAGTGCAGACTTCAGCGTGTCAGTCCCAGATGCACTTATCAACATGAGGATAACAATATATTCCTGTCTCACAGGAGTATTGTGGAGAAAGATCTGCTACAGATCTTCAGGCCATAAGACACTGCATTTGTAAAAGGTTTATAAATATTTTGGAAGATGGATAATACGTGGTGTTAATACCTATTACTGAAACTGCTTGATTTTTTTCTAAAAAAAGATGCTTGTTAGAATGGAAGTAGGTGCAAGGAATTAATTGTTACTCAGCAGTTCTTTAACACTTAGGCTTTTACTGAAGTTTTGAAGGGAAGTGGAAGAGTAAGTTCCTGCACTTGATGTAACTCTGATTGTATGCACTATTTATTTATTTATTTTGTAACGAGTGATTTCACAATTTGAACTTAAGTTTTCAGTGGTCTCATTTGGGATAATCCCAGAGGAAGGCCCTGTTATATCTATGACGTTAGCATTTAGGTCTGTTAGTGTTACCATTAACTATGGCAAATTCCAAGACTTTCTGTAGTCATAGGACTTCATTCCTGGTATCTTCCCAGGGCAGAAAGGCTTCAGGTGAATGTGCTGCAAGTAATTTCTTTTCTGTTGCAGGTGTCGAGAAGGCTTTCTTGGAGACTACTGTCAATACAGAAACCCCTGTGAAAGCAATACCTGTAAGAACGGGGGAACTTGTGAAACTACGTCTCTGATAGGAAAGGCTACCTGCAAATGTGCTCCAGGGTTCACGGGAGAGGATTGTCAATACTCTGAATCGCACCTCTGCTACGTGTCCCAGCCCTGCCTGAACGGAGGAACTTGTCATCCCCACAGCCAGGAAACGTACGAGTGTGTCTGTCCTCCAGGTTACACAGGTGGGGTTCTGCATTTGTACCTCCAGACTCCCTCCTTTGTGAATGACTTCATCCTGGAATGTTCTGGGGCAGTCGTAATATGCTCTCAAATTTACTAGCTCCAGCACAGGAAATGAGAAGAAGTCTAAATGACTTCATGACCAAAAAAAGCAAAGGGGGATAGGGAGTCAAACTCCCTACCCTTTACACGTAAGCAGAAAGACATTTTGATCTTGTGGGGTTGTCCACGTGGGAAAACTGAGTGCAGAAGCTATTCTGGAATGGCTGTTACACTTTGAATTCAGAGTGCACCTTCTAGAAAAAATGAAGTAAATTTGACCAGCAAAATCTTTCTATGGGAAAACTGTAATTGGGTGCCTGAGGGGAAGCATGGAAACTCACTCCTTTCATTCTTGAAGGGGACATAGAAGAAGAGTGACTGTCAGTGTGTAGTATGATTCAGGTCATGGGTTATTTTTATAAATCACAACATTCTGTATCTTGCTGCTACCCTGTAAATAAAATGACTGTACTGTAACCACAAATTGATTTTCGTTTCAAATATAATACTGTAAAATGCAGACAAATTTTCCTTCAATAATTTTAAGATTTAGTACACCAATCATTTTGAGGTAGTGTGAAGGCAATACTGTTTTCCACAGAAATAACTTTTTATTAATGGACTGCTCTGTCTTGATCCTACAGGAAAGGATTGCCAGTGGATTGATGCCTGTACATCTCAACCTTGTGCCAATGGAAGTACATGTACTGTATCTGGAAATAAGTTCTCCTGCATCTGTCTGGCTGGCTACACTGGCCAGAAGTGTGAGATAGATGTGAATGAATGTGCCACACCAGGCCTTTGTCAACATGATGGGACCTGTGTCAATTTGCCCGGTTCATACCGATGCCGCTGCAAGCCAGGCTATACAGGGCATCGCTGTGAGAGTGTATATGTGCCATGTTCCCCATCACCCTGTATGAATGGAGGAACTTGTCATCAAACAAGTGACTTCACCTTTGAATGCAACTGTCTGCCAGGTAAATGACGCTTCTTCAAAGTGCTTGGTTTTGTAGCCTTGTCACTGCATTCCTGTCTGTTCTTCTGAAAACTTCTCTTGGAGTTTCTGTGTGATATTTGTGTAATGTAAGGTTGAAGGGAGAAATCTCAGCAAGGCAGGAAGCTCTGCTAGGATGTTAATTTCTGAGTGTCAGGATTTCATAATATGGAAGGGAAGAAAAGGGAAGAAGGCTAGAAATGACAGATTTCTTTGGCACCCAATTAGAGGCAGCGGATCAAATAGGTAAGAACTATGAGGTAGATTCAAGGAGATTAGGGTGGTATCTCCTAATGCCCATTTGGAATGCGAAATTCCATAAACGTAAACCTCTACAAATACATAGTTTTGTGTTAATAAAGGCCATAGTTAACTTCAGTGCTTGAATGAAGATGAACGCGTGTCTGTCTCCCTCTCAGTCTTTACCCCTAAAACATATTAGGTTCTGTTCCCTTCCTTTTTCTCCTCCGGTTCCTCCAGATCTTACGAGATGTCATTTCCAGCTCGCCACACCCTTTTTGTCCTGTAATACCTCCAGATAAATTATGCTTGCTTGTTTTCAGATGCTTTTAGCTGCCCTGAGTTCATCCACAGCAGGGGTGATGTGCTTACTTAGGATCATGGGCTGCATTGGTTTTGTGTGTCAAGCTGGGCTCCAATCACCAAGGCACCCGTCTCTACAAATGACCATATGTCACCTGGTTGGGACGCTGGTGGTCTCATCCTGTCCTGCTCCTCCCCATCCACTTGTCTTACTGACCACAGGGCAGTGCTAGTCATATCAGGGTTTTTTTAGGCTGATATTTTTTTACTGAGTAATTCAGTCCATGGGAAACTGATTGTTTGGAAATGCTTTTGACGAGACTTCCTACTTAAGTGTATTGTAGTTTGGCACATGAACACTTGGTGTGTGGTAATCTAGAAAAGTAAACTCTCTTCCCTTAAGCATTTCCCTGTTGTTATTTATGTGAAAGATGTAGCTGCCATTTACTGTTTAGGATGAATGTAGAGTGACTGCGTTCTCATGAGGATCATCTGGAGTCACAGGTATGTGTGGAAAGTGTGTTTAGAACTTGTGAAAAATGCTCTCTTTTTGGACACCTTTGTCTTGAAGTGTTGGCTCAAATGACCTTAAATGTACATTGCCAACCTTAGCTAGTGCCTGCACAACAACTTTCTGGGTCGTCTGAGCAAGCATGTGACTTTGAAGAACTTAGTAAAGTCGATCTTAAAATAGAAGGATGTATCATCTTTATTTTTCTGTGAAAGCAACCATTTCTAACTATGCTTGAAGAAACGGTGCTTGAACATACAGGGTCTTGGAAAATGCCATATCTTAACTAAGAGTTGCTCTCAGGGAATTTATTGCTTTTCTGCTTTGCATCTTTTTAAAATGAAATTGTAAACTAAGTATCTCTGGATTAACAGGCTTGATCAGAAATTCAGAATTTTCTTAAAGTCAGATCTGTTTAGCCAGTTTAAGGAGTTTAAGATATCATGCAGAAGCAGTGTGGTGGGGGTTAAGAGGAGAGGAAGATGAATTTTGAAGGACTCGATCCTGTAAAGCTGATAAGACAGTTTGCTTTCGTGATTCTCTTACAGGGGTACGAGACTGGGTAGGAGCACATTTTCCCTTAGACAAGCGTGTGGGCTGGCTAAACTATGGTCAGGAAATGAAAATGAGATTACTATAGTAACAGTTACACACCCACACTGCTCACACACGTTTTGGATTATTAGCTGCTTTTTTGGACTTGTTACACAACGTGTGTAGTGGGGGTGAGTTAATGTGGCTTTGAGAGCCTTCACTTCTGTATTTCCTGTATTTGTTTAAGTTGGCCATGTTGTTTTGCTAGCTTGATTTTTTTTAAAACTAGTCATTTGAAAAACAGCAAAAAAAGGGAGAGGTTGGAGAGGCCAAAATGCTTACATTAAATTCTTTGATAAAGGCAAGGCACCCAGCCATTTCTTCCCCCTTAGTGAAGCACGCAGAGCAAAATTTCTGAAGTGTTAGAAAAGGTTCTGTCTGGGAAGGAAAGGTCAACGGAAAGAGAAGAGAAATGGTGGCCTGTCACGCCCAGGGAAGATGTGAACAAGGCCTTCTCATCTGGAAGAGAGTGCCAAGATCATGGACTAGAAATTCCTCTTTAGACTCCCTCTCTGAATTGGAGCAATGCCGATGATATTGTGACTATAAATGGAATTGCTCTAGCCCTTCCTTCTGGACTGCCTTAAGATGTTACCATGGCTCAGTGTTATGGCCGTAGAGGCAGGAGGCGGTTACATCTTGAACTGCTAGTGTCGTGGTTTAACCCCAGCTGGTAACTAAGCACCACACAGCCACTTGCTCGCTCCCCCC